TCAAAGTTGCACCCAACCAAAGACACGTCAAAGTTGCACCCAACCAAAGACACGTCAAAGTCAAGGCAAAGCACTGCCCAAGGGCCCGGGGTCAGTAGGGGACCCCATGAGCTGCACCCGGTACCTTTGATAGGCTCTTTTGGGAGTGGTTTGAGTGTGGGCGAGGACACGGGCCCCATGATCCCCTATTGTCTGGGGGTCTCACGAGTTGTCAGTCCGCCCCTGATATATATTTATAAGAAAAGGTTACCTGCCGTGCAGCTCCATCATTGGGGAATCCTCGGAGGTTTTCTCGGATACGTCATCTTTCAGCTCTCGAGGTTCCTTCAGTCTGTTGGATATAAAAGATATCAGATATGTGCAATGCAGCTACTCGCTGATCTTGGTGTAAGGCGTGGAGTTTGTTGACTATTAAAGCGGATTTCAAAATATCAGACAATGACGTGAGACAAAGTAAAAAAAAAAAATCAGTTTGCAAAAGGAAATCCAATCACAAGCAAGAAAAAGCAGGATTTTCCCCCGCATGCTATTGGATTGTTGAAGTCAGGATAAATTTCCTCATTCACTAAGCTGGGTGAACATTCGCTTTACAAGTCAACAAGTTCTGAAGTACAACCTTGTACATGTTTCCCCGCCCCATCAACATGCACATAAATTTGTTAAAGTGGTAGCAAAGTTCGAATCCCAACCATGCCTGGAGTTTGCATGTTCTCCCTGTGCCTGCGTGGGTTTCCTCCGGGTACTTCGGTTTCCTCCCACACTCCAAAGACATGCAGGGAGGTGAATTGGCTCCTGTCTATATTGGCCCTAGGATGTGTATGTATGAATGTGAGTTAGGGACCTTAGATTGTACGCCCCTTGAGGGTTAGGGACCTTAGATTGGACGCTCCTTAAGGATTAGGGACCTTAGATTGTACTCCCCTTGAGGGTTAGGGACCGTAGATTGCACGCCCCTTGAGTGTTAGGGACCTTAGATTGTACTCCCCTTGAGTGTTAGGGACCTTAGATTGTACTCCCCTTGAGGGTTAGGGACCGTAGATTGTACGCCCCTTGAGGGTTAGGGACCTTAGATTGTACGCCCCTTGAGGGTTAGGGACCTTAGATTGGACGCTCCTTAAGGATTAGGGACCTTAGATTGGACGCTCCTTAAGGATTAGGGACCTTAGATTGTACACCCCTTGAGGGTTAGGGACCGTAGATTGCACGCCCCTTGAGGGTTAGGGACCTTAGATTGTACTCCCCTTGAGGGTTAGGGACCGTAGACTGTACGCCCCTTGAGGGTTATAGACCTTAGATTGGACGCTCCTTAAGGATTAGGGACCTTAGATTGTACACCCCTTGAGGGTTAGGGACCGTAGATTGCACGCCCCTTGAGGGTTAGGGACCTTAGATTGTACTCCCCTTGAGGGTTAGGGACCTTAGATTGTACTCCCCTTGAGGGTTAGGGACCGTAGATTGTACGCCCCTTGAGGGTTAGGGACCTTAGATTGTACTCCCCTTGAGGGTTAGGGACCTTAGATTGTACTCCCCTTGAGGGTTAGGGACCGTAGATTGTACGCCCCTTGAGGGTTAGGGACCTTAGATTGTACTCCCCTTGAGGGTTAGGGACCTTAGATTGTACGCCCCTTGAGGGTTAGGGACCTTAGATTGTACGCACCTTGAGGGTTAGGGACCTTAGATTGTACGCACCTTGAGGGTTAGGGACCTTAGATTGTACGCTCCTTGAGGGTTAGGGACCTTAGATTGTACGCACCTTGAGGGTTAGGGACCGTAGATTGTACGCACCTTGAGGGTTAGGGACCTTAGATTGTACGCTCCTTGAGGGTTAGGGACCTTAGATTGTACACACCTTGAGGGTTAGGGACCTTAGATGGTACGCCCCTTGAGGGTTAGGGACCTTAGACTGTACGCCCCTTGAGGGTTAGGGACCTTAGATTGTACGCCCCTTGAGGGTTAGGGACCTTAGATGGTACGCCCCTTGAGGGTTAGGGACCTTAGACTGTACGCCCCTTGAGGGTTAGGGACCTTAGATTGTACGCCCCTTGAGGGTTAGGGACCTTAGATTGTACGCCCCTTGAGGGTTAGGGACCTTAGATTGTACGCTCCTCGGGGGCGGGGACTGATGTGGATGTACAATATATATGTAAAGCGCTGTGTACACTGATGGCTATCCTACTCTATAATCACTTCAGAACTTGTACCTCAGCTTACAATAAGGCTTACCTGTGAATATCTCCTAAACTTGCGCACAACATGCAGCCAATGACATCACTGACGCATGCGCTCTGGAGGAACGGCATATTGTGCCGGACTTTCAGAGCTCCGTGCCGGACGCATGTGTGGGAGTGACGTCATCGCCACCCTGGCTATGCATACGGCCGGAGCCTGTGAACCTGGAAGGAAAACCGGGTGAAGATGTCAGCGCCGGGGAGCCGTGACACCGCTGCGCTCGAGGGCCCCGTGTCTGCCATAATGTACTAGTATGTGGGCGGGGCACTACACGATGTCCCAAACCTGCAGAGGACCATTGCTTTATTTTTTTTTTTTTTCTTTTCGGTTTACTATCACTCTAAGGTGGTTCTAAAGGTTCAATGTTTTTACCTTCATGTATTCTCAGTAAAAAACCTTCTGTGTAGCAGCCCCCCAAACACTTACCTGAGCCCCATTCCAATCTAGCGATGTCCATGAGAGCATCGGTTCTCCGTGGATTGGTTGAGGCGCTGCTGTCAATCACAGCCAGTGAGCCAATCAACAGAGGGAGGGAGGGAGCGAGGCCAAGTTGTGGCTCTGTGTGTGAATGGGCAAGCAGAGCTGTGGCTCGGAAGTGTGCATGCTTGGGTGCCCCCATAGCAATCTGCTTGCTGTGGGGGCACCTGACAGGAGAGAGGGGGCCAGAAGCGCCGGCAGGGGACCCGAGAAGAGGAGGATCCGGGCTGCTCTGTGCAAAACCATTACAGAGCAGGTAAGTATGACATGCTTGTTATCACTTTAAAGTGTCATTAAACCCACAACAGTACAATCAGTCTGTGGATGCAGTAAAGCATGCTTGTTATACTGACTGTAGGACCTAAGGGGTTAATCCTCTGCATTGTGTAAAAATGCTGTTTAATCCGGTCTTCTCTGATCCTCCTTTTCTTCTACTGTCCCCAATCCATCTGCTGATAGTACAGACGACATCTAGGAGACACTCTGCACATGCTCAGTTTAGTGTGTATGGCTAGAGAAGTTTTTTTTTAATTTGGGAGGGTGCATGTGATCAGCACAGGGACAAATCAGCACTGTCCACACAGGGGGTCAGGGGTCATGCCACAGTCTGAGCAAAATGAAAACTCCTCCTACAAACTTTAACCAGTGCTAAGTTGGACACCAACAGAAGTCACAAGACTGCTATATACTGCTGATGAGAAAAGGGATTTAGCAGTTTATATTACTAAAATAACTGTATTTCCATGTTCTGTGTACTGTGGGAGAGCGGATATAGTGAATGCAGGGTCTGGGGAGAGCGGGTATAGTGAATGCAGGGTCCGGGGAGAGCGGATATAGTGAATGCGGGGTCCGGGGAGAGCGGATATAGTGAATGCGGGGTCCGGGGAGAGCGGATATAGTGAATGCAGGGTCCGGGGAGAGCGGATATAGTGAATGCAGGGTCCGGGGAGAGCAGATATAGTAAATGCGGGGTCCGGGGAGAGCAGATATAGTGAATGCGGGGTCCGGGGAGAGCAGATATAGTGAATGCGGGGTCCGGGGAGAGCAGATATAGTGAATGCGGGGTCCGGGGAGAGCGGATATAGTGAATGCGGGGTCCGGGGAGAGCGGATATAGTGAATGCGGGGTCCGGGGAGAGCGGATATAGTGAATGCAGGGTCCGGGGAGAGGGGGTATAGTGAATGCCGCGTCCGGGGAGAGCGGATATAGTGAATGCGGGGTCCGGGGAGAGCGGATATAGGGAATGCGGGTCTGGGGAGAGCGGATATAGTGAATGCGGGGTCCAGGGAGAGGGGATATAGTGAATGCAGGGTCCGGGGAGAGCGGATATAGTGAATGCAGGGTCCGGGGAGAGCAGATATAGTGAATGCGGGGTCCGGGGAGAGCGGATATAGTGAATGCGGGGTCCGGGGAGAGCGGATATAGTGAATGCGGGGTCCGGGGAGAGCGGATATAGTGAATGCGGGGTCCGGGGAGAGCGGATATAGTGAATGCGGGGTCCGGGGAGAGCGAATATAGTGAATGCGGGGTCCGGGGAGAGCGGATATAGTGAATGCGGGGTCCGGGGAGAGCGGATATAGTGAATGCGGGGTCCGGGGAGAGCGGATATAGTGAATGCGGGGTCCGGGGAGAGCGGATATAGTGAATGTGAGGTCCGGGGAGAGCGGATATAGTGAATGCGGGGTCCGGGGAGAGAGCGGATATAGTGAATGCAGGGTCCGGGGAGAGCGGATATATCGAATGCAGGGTCTGGGGTTCAGTAACACTTTAATATATTTGTTCATACATATCTAATTTCCCTGTGGTGTCACCCTAAGCAGTGTGTATGTGAATGCTGTCCACTCTAGGTAACACCCACATGTGATGCTGAGCCTCCATGATTGAAAGAACTAAAACCCAATGAATAGAAAGGGTTAAGGACAGTCAGGATGGGGAGGAAAGAGCTAGAAGATGCTGGGCATACTTCAGCCAACAAGGCAGGCTCTATCTGACATGCTGTAGGTTCTAATGCACATTATGAGAATCTCACAGTGTGCGGTGAAATTACACCAAGCATTCAGTACAGCTGAACGGTCAGCCCTGGAATCATGTGACCAAACACCTAGACATATTGCCACGTAACTGTCTGCCAGTTTATGAAATTAAGGAACTTCTTTGTTTTAGTGTGACAGGTGATAGTGGAGTTCAGGATGGGCGGGATGAGTCCATCAAACAACAAATGCCGGGTTATATAATCCCAAAGTGTATCAGGATGGAAAGATATTTAGAAAGAATTCCCTCTTGGCTACAAATGTTTAAACCAAAAACCCATCAGAGAAGTGTGAACCTTCGTACCTGGGCTCCAGGCGTTCTTTGACCTTGGCGATGGATCGTACGTATGGCGCAATCTGTTTGGCAATTGTGGTCAGGTAGCTGTTTTCTTGTTTCAGTTGCTGGAGGTCGTGTAGCTGAGCTGCAGAGAGACCACGGATGGGGCAATGATCGCTGGAGGCAGGATTTCTCTCATTGACCATTAGTGTGGCTCTCATACAGATTGTGGTAATGTTAGGTTTTGTGTCCCGACTGGGGAGATCTTCTCACTTCCTGTTTTGGTAACCAGAGATGAGCTCAGGTTCCGTCTGAACCTGGAATTTAGTGGTCATTGCTGGGCCAATGAGCTGTGGGAAGATTCCCCGGTCTGCAGCCGCACATATACAAAGCCAGAGAAGCTCATGAGATTATTGACCTATTATGGCCACATGGCTGATATTAGCCCAGCCATTTAGCCATATGAAGTCAATGATGTCACAAGCATCCCCGCCCCTTTGTATATGTACAGCTGTGGGGGCCAGTGACCCAGTATGGCATTTTGACCTATAATAGCTATGTGCCATAATAAGCCATTGGGCCAGAGATGACAATTAACTTCCAAGTTTGAAAAAGAGTAACGGGACGGGGGGGTGCCACCATCTAAGCGTAGTACTTTATTCAAACAGCGGGGGTTAGAAACAGCGTGCACTCACTTAAAGAACATAATGTCAGCACATCAATGGTCATACTTGGTATCTGCAGGGTTTGTTGGGGAAGCTGGCCGTCATGAACAGATGATCCTGAAGACGAGGCAATGCATTTCTGCCAAACAAGTCTTCAGGATCATCTGTTCATGACGGCCAGCTTCCCCAACAAACCCTGCAGATACCCAGCATGACCATTGATGTGCCTGACATTATGTTTTTCAATGATGTCATTGCCAGGCAGGCAAAGCAGAGGTTGCAGGAAACGGCTGGGTCTGTTGGACGCAGAGCCAGCCAAAACCAGAAGTGACATGAAGTCAGAAGGGTGCTGGGTTATTATTATTATTATACAGGATTTATGGCGCCAACAGTTTGCTCAGCGCTTTACAATATAACGGGAGACAACACAGCAACAATACAAGAGGGTTAGGAGGGCCCTGATCCTGGGAGCTGACAATCTAAGAGGGAGGGGCTGGTGGTAGAAAAGGTAATAACTGTGGGGGATAGACTGGTAGGAGGAATAGAAGTTTCCATTATTAGCTGAGGGCAGGATAGGCTTCCCTGAAGAGATCAGTTTTCAGAGATCGTCTAAAAGTGAGCAGAGTAGGCGATAGTCTGATAAATTCGGGTAGAGAGTTCCAGAGGATGGGGGAGGCTCTGGAGAAGTCCTGGAGATGAGCATAAGAGGAGGAGACAAGGGAGCTAGAGAGCAGGAGGTTGTGCGAGGAGCGGAGAGGACAGTTTGGGTGATATTTGGAGACAAGATTGGTGATGTAATTTGGGGCGGAGTTATAAATGGTTTTATATGGGATTGTTAATGTTTTGAATTTTATCCATTGGGCAATGGGAAGCCAGTGGAGGGATTGGCAGAGGGGGGGTGGAGGACACTGAATGGAGGCCAGTGGAGGGATTGGCAGAGAGGGATGGAGGACACTGAGTGGAGGCCAGTGGAGGGATTGGTAGAGAGGGGTGGAGGACACTGAATGGAGGCCAGTGGAGGGATTGGCAGAGAGGGGTGGAGGACACTGAATGGAGGCCAGTGGAGGGATTGGCAGAGAGGGATGGAGGACACTGAATGGAGGCCAGTGGAGGGATTGGCAGAGAGGGATGGAGGACACTGAGTGGTGGCCAGTGAAGGGATTGGCAGAGAGGGGTGGAGGACACTGAATGGAGGCCAGTGGAGGGATTGGCAGAGAGGGGTGGAGGACACTGAATGGAGGCCAGTGGAGGGATTGGCAGAGAGGGGTGGAGGACACTGAATGGAGGTCAGTGCAGGGATTGGCAGAGAGGGGTGGAGGACACTGAATGGAGGCCAGTGCAGGGATTGGCTGAGAGGGGTGGAGGACACTGAATGGAGGCCAGTGGAGGGATTGGCAGAGAGGGGTGGAGGACACTGAATGGAGGCCAGTGGAGGGATTGGCAGAGAGGGGTGGAGGACACTGAATGGAGGCCAGTGGAGGGATTGGCAGAGAGGGGTGGAGGACACTGAATGGAGGCCAGTGGAGGGATTGGCAGAGAGGGGTGGAGGACACTGAATGGAGGCCAGTGGAGGGATTGGCAGAGAGGGGTGGAGGACACTGAGTGGAGGCCAGTGGAGGGATTGGCAGAGAGGGGTGGAGGACACTGAATGGAGGTCAGTGGAGGGATTGGCAGAGAGGGGTGGAGGACACTGAATGGAGGCCAGTGGAGGGATTGGCAGAGAGGGGTGGAGGACACTGAGTGGAGGCCAGTGGAGGGATTGGCAGAGAGGGGTGGAGGCCAGTGGAGGGATTGGCAGAGAGGGGTGGAGGACACTGAGTGGAGGCCAGTGGAGGGATTGGCAGAGAGGGGTGGAGGACACTGAATGGAGGTCAGTGGAGGGATTGGCAGAGAGGGGTGGAGGACACTGAATGGAGGCCAGTGCAGGGATTGGCTGAAAGGGGTGGAGGACACTGAATGGAGGCCAGTGGAGGGATTGGCAGAGAGGGGTGGAGGACACTGAATGGAGGCCAGTGGAGGGATTGGCTGAGAGGGGTGGAGGACACTGAATGGAGGCCAGTGGAGGGATTGGCAGAGAGGGGTGGAGGACACTGAATGGAGGCCAGTGGAGGGATTGGTAGAGAGGGATGGCAGATACGGAATGGTTGGGATAACGTACCATTGATGGGCATGACTACCATTGATTGGGATGACTAGCACGTAGCCACGCCCATCAACAGTACATCATCTTGACCCAGCACCCTTCTGACAACACGTCACTTCCGGTTTCCGCCAGCGGTGTGTTCCACGGCATCCAACAGACCCTTCCGCTTCCTGCAACCTCTGCATACTTCACAACAAGCCTCCAGGGTCATCTGTAAATGCCTGCAAACTTCCCTGACCAACCCTGCAGATACCCAGCATGACCATTGATGTGCCTGACATTCTTTTTACCAAGTGAGTGTACATTGATATTAACCCCGCTGTTTTAATAAAGTGCTACACTTAAATGGTGCCCCCCCCCCCATCTTGGTATCGGATGCACTTGGGTTCTATCCAAACCCAATCCCAAAAACAAGCTCATTACTACTGTTGACAAAGACAGGAAGCAAAGAAAAATGTACTAAAGTCGTCCTACGCGGTGCTAAGTGTTCGCTGTTTCAGCGAGGCCTCTGTATATACTGTGGTGTAACCCAACTCTGAATATTACAACAAATCATATTACCTTCATATATTTCCTGCTCATTCGCCACCCTTTGGTAAGTTTCTTCCCAAATCTGCAGTGAAATTAAAAAGTGAAAGCTTGTAACAAATCTCTAAATATAATGAAAATATCTACAATAGAAAGGATTTTCTGGAGGACACTTTTCACTCTGAAGGCTTCAGGGCTGTTTTTCAGTCAAGGCACCCTTTAAACTTATGGACAGTCCCGAGGCACCCCATTCTGAAATATAGCTACATAGTTAGTCTGGCTGAAAAAAGACAAAAGTCCATCCAGTTCAACCATTAAAAAAAAAGAAAAAAAAGTTATAATCCTACACCCACAGCTGATCCAGAGGAAGGCAAACAAACCCAGCAAAGCACGATCCAATCTGCTCCTGCAGGGAAAAAGATTCCTTCCTGATCCCCCGAGAGGCAATCGGATGTGAAAATGTAAAAAACGATTCTAATAGTTTTATATAACGCAGCAACATTCACACACATAGGACAGCCAATGTTGGAAGTGAATAATTCTTCCAACTCAATTACACCTTTGCACAATGGTACTGACTAGTATGCCAGTGTTTCTCTTCTCCCTCAGTTTTTCTCCATCACTGAGCTAATGTGACCCCAGCACTGACGGAGAGGGGCAGGGAAGGGTCAAACAAGGTGTTGCAATGCTGTGCAGGCAACCAACATCCTCCATATCAAATGATGTCATTGGTTGTCAGGACGCCAGGGGCTAGAAGGTCGTAATGGTGCGCAATGAAATCCTGTGACTTTGTGTAACTATAAAAGGCAGACGTGTCCCATCCACTAACATATACAGTTGGGCTCAAAGGTTTGCATCCCCCGGCAGAAATTGTGACATTGTGGTATTGATATTGAAAATCTGACTGATCATGCCAAAAACTGCTCTTTTATTGAAGGATGATGATCATATGAAGCCATTTATTATCAAATAGTTGTTTGGCTCCTTTTTAAATCATAATAATAACAGAAATCACCCAAATGGCCCGGATCATCTCCGCCCCCTGATCAGTAGTCTCCGCCCCCGGATCAGAAGTCTCCACCCCCAGATCAGAAGTCTCCACCCCCAGATCAGAAGTCTCTGCCCCCTGATCAGAAGTCTCCACTCCCGGATCAGAAGTCTCCACCCCCGGATCAGAAGTCTCCACCCCCAGGTCAGAAGTCTCCCCCTCCTGGAATGTTTGGCCTTGGTACCGACACACAAGGTGACACACACGGGGTACAATGCCAATTAGAGGTTAATGTCCCACATCTGTGGCTTTATAAATTGCAATCAGTGTCTGTGTATAAATAGTCAATGAGTTTGTTCGCTCTTACGTGGAAGCACTGACTGGGCTAGATACTGAGCCATGGGGAGCAGGAAAGAACTGTCAAAAGTCCTGCGTAACAAGGTAATGGAACTTTATAAAGATGGAAAAGGTCATGATCCGTTTGATCAGTCATACTTTCAATATCAACGGCAAAATTTCTCAATTCCTGCCAGGGTATGCAAACTTTTGAGCACAACTGTATTTGTATACAGGTTTTGTGCATTTTTTAGACATTTTGTCAAGGCACCCCTGAAGAAACCTCAAGGCACCCTGGTTGAAAAAGGCTGCTTTAGAGGCCTCAGGTCCTTTTGCAGTGGTGGATAGCAATGGTTGTCCTGTGGCTTGCATCATAGCTATGCCACCTGGTTCAGGATTCTTGGGACTCCTATTGTCTCATCCCTTAGTCCAGCCATCCCTGACGCTCCCAATGGATATAATAAATGAACTGACCTCCTCAAATGCCGTCCTCATCATTTCCACAGACGAATACTCGGAGGCGATCTGCACATCCACCTGCAGAGACTTCTGGATGATCTCGCTCATGGTTTCTGTCTTTATGAGGGAATGGTGCTTCGTCAGGTCTCTGTGCAGCTCCTGGACCTGGTCCTTCAGATTCTGGATCTCTGCCTGGATGATCTACAGGAGAGCACAGAAGTCGCGTATGAAGTCAGCTAAAGGAAGGAGTGGACCTCACAGCAATATCAAGTCTAATCAATAAAGTGTATCTCAACCAAAGAACACAAACATAATATACTGCAGTCACAGTTTCAGCACACTTCCTGCCCTAGGGTGACAACACTCACAGGGCAATGTAGGGCAAGAGAACACATTCCCCTTTGCTCTTCATGATATAGCAGTAGGTGTTCTGTAGCTGAAAGAGGTGAAATGGACAGGGCTGACAGCACTCCTCCAGATAACACTGCCAGCAGCACAGGAAGTTGGAAGTTCATTGGCTTTCTGGCGGGATCAACAGATATCTGTTTGGATTTATGAAAGTGACATAACAAAATACTTTGACATCAAAAGCAGGCCAATAGAAAAGGTTGCCGCTTTACACACACACACATTATTCTCATCCCTAAGGAGGGGAAGGATGTGTTACAATGTGCTATCATCCGATTTACCTGAATACAGACTTCAAAATATTTACGAAAATCCTGGCTAACAGGTTACTCCCTCATTTACCCCGACTTATTCACGGACACCAAGTGGGCTTCGTGTCGACCAGAGAAGCCATGGATAACAGCGCCAGGGTCCGGAACCTCATCCACTTGGCCCAGTCGAAAGAACTACCTACTTTCCTGCTTTCACTGGATGCGAGAAAGACTTTTGACCCGGGTGACTGGGGTTTTTGAAAGGCACACTCCAATATGGGAAGTCATGGGTAGGTGGATCGACGTGTTATACTGTCACCCAATGGCAGCCGTTAAGATTAACAAGGCACTTACCACCTACTTCTCCCTCAGCAATGGCACAAGACAAGGGCGCCCCCTCGCACCATTGATTTTCGTTATCACTTTGGAACCTCTCCTGTGCCTTACAAAAGCTAACTGTGACATTAAGGGTTTGGATTCTGGAAGGGATTCCCATAAGGTTGCGGCATACACCAATGATTTTTATCACGCAAGCAGAAATCCGTTACCCTTTCTTCTAAAACGAACTTCAACTCAATGCAAGCCTCTCAAACTAGAGATTAATGTAGGGAAATCTGAGGTGTGAACATAAATAATACCTCTAGGCTTTGGGGTCATTCAGTCCAACTTTCCGTTCATGTAAGGTGTCTACTAAGCTTCGGTATCTGGGTATTAACATCACATCTTCCATTGCAGATACACTATATTGGGCCCACCCTCCAAATCATTTGATTCAGGTGTCCCAATCCCCTCCATATCATGTGATTCAGGTGTTCCAATCCCCTCCATATCATGTGATTCAGGTGTTCCAATCCCCTCCAAATCATGTGATTCAGGTGTTCCAATCCCCTCCATATCATGTGATTCAGGTGTTCCAATCCCCTCCAGTCATGTGATTCAGATGTTCCAATCCCCTCCAAATCATGTGATTCAGGTGTTCCAATCCCCTCCATATCATGTGATTCAGGTGTTCCAATCCCCTCCATGGACACAGGTGTATACAATCCATCCCCTAGGAATGCAGACTGCTTCTACAAACATTGGTGAAAGAATGGGTCGCTCTCAGGAGCTCAGTGACTCCAAGCGTGGTCCCGTGATAGGTGGCCACCTGTGCAATAAGTCCATCCGTGACATTTCCTGGCTACTAAATATTCCACCATCAACTGTTAGTGGGATTATAACAAAGTGGAAGCAACTGGGAACAACAGCCACTCAGCCACCAAGTGGTAGGCCACGTCACATGACAGTGCGGGGTCAGTGCATGCTGAAGCGCACAGTGCGCAGAAGTCGCCAACTGTCTGCAGAGTCAATAGCTAAAGACCTCCAAACTTGGTGTGGCCTTCAGATGAGCCCAACAACAGTGCGTAGAGAGCTTCATGGAATGGGTTTCCATGGCCGAGCAGCTGCATCCAAGCCTTCCATCACCAAGTGCAATGCAAAGCGTCGGATGCCGTGGTGTAAAGCACGCCGCCACTGGACTCTAGAGCAGGGGAGACATGTTCTCTGGAGTGACCAATCACGCTTCTCTGTCTGGCAATCCGATGGACATGTCTGGGTTTGGCGGTTGCCAGGAGAACGGTACTTGCCTGACTGCATTGTGCCAAGTGTAAAGTTTAGTGGAGGGGGATTATGGTGTGGGGTTGCCTTTCAGGGGTTGGGCTTGGCCCCCTAGTTCCAGTGAAGGGAACTCTTAAGGCAACATTTTGGACAATTTCATTCCCCCAACTTTGTGGGAGGAGTTTGGTGATGGCCCCTTCCTGTTCCAACATGACTGCCCACCAGTGCACAAAGCAAGGTCCATAAAGACATGGAGGAGCCAGTTTGGGGTGGAGGAACTTGACTGTCCTGCACAGAGTCCTGACCTCAACCCCATAGAACACCTTTGGGATGAATTAGAGCGGAGACTGCGAGCCAGGCCTCCTCCCCCGACATCAGTGCCTGACCTGACAAATGAGCTTCTGGAAGAATGGTCCAACCTTCCCATAGACACCATCCTAAACCTTGTGGACGGCCTTCCCAGAAGAGTTGAAGCTGTTATAGCTGCAAAGGGCGGGGCCAACTCAATATTGAACCCTACGGACTAAGACTGGGGGGCCATTAAAGGTCATGTGTGTGGAAAGGGTGGGGCCAACTCAATATTGAACCCTACGGACTAAGACTGGGGGGCCATTAAAGGTCATGTGTGTGGAAAGGGCGGGGCCAACTCAATATTGAACCCTACGGACTAAGACTGGGGGGCCATTAAAGGTCATGTGTGTGGAAAGGGCGGGGCCAACTCAATATTGAACCCTACGGACTAAGACTGGTGGGCCATTAAAGGTCATGTGCGTGGAAAGGGCGGGGCCAACTCAATATTGAACCCTACGGACTAAGACTGGGAGGCCATTAAACTTCATGTGCGTGGGAAGGCCGGCAGTCCAATACTTTTGGCAATATAGTGTATATTTAGGGCCAGTTCATACCACATGCAGTCCAGCATGTTTTTTTCTGCATCAAAAATGCATTGATAGTAGGTTACATGATTTCCAGTGGCATAGTTCACACCAGTGCGGTCAGTCCCAGTGAGCTCAAGTTCCAGAAAAAAAAGTAGAACAGGCTGCATTTTTTTCTGCACTGAACTGTACTGGAATGCAGTAAAACGCATCAAAAACGCACCGGAACGTGTCAAAAAACAGCACATACAGAAATGCTTCTGGACTGCATTTCTATGGCGTGAACCAGCCCTTAACATTTCTTCCCTTATTTGCAATTATCTGTTTGGATTTGAAACGTTGACACTCCCAATCTTTCACCCGCTTTAGGAGGAAAACAATTAAAAAAATTAATATTCTCCCTGGGCTTTTATACTTACTTCAAACCCTCCTGGTTCGGGTCCCCAAGGCTTTCCTTCAATCTATCAGGGAAGAGTTATAGGGAGGGTTAGTGTTGGGAGGGTCAGTGTTGGGGTTACAGGGAGGGTCAGTGTTGGGGTTACAGGGAGGGTTAGTGTTAGGGTTACAGGGAGAGTCAGTGTTGGGATTATAGGGAGGGTCGGTGTTAGGGTTATAGGGAGGGTTACTATTAGGGTTATAGGGAGGGTCAATGTTAGGGTTATAGGGAGGGTCAGTGTTGGGGTTATAGGGAGTGTTAGTGTTGGGGTTATAGGGAGGGTCAGTGTTGGGGTTATACGGAGGTCGGTGTTAGGGTTATACGGAGGGTCGGTGTTAGGGTTATAGGGAGGGTTACTATTAGGGTTATAGGGAGGGTCAATGTTAGGGTTATAGGGAGGGTCAATGTTAGGGTTATAGGGAGTGTTAGTGTTGGGGTTATAGGGAGGGTCAGTGTTGGGGTTATAGGGAGTGTTAGTGTTGGGGTTATAGGGAGGGTCAGTGTTGGGGTTATAGGGAGTGTTAGTGTTGGGGTTATAGGGAGGGTCAGTGTTGGGGTTACAGGGAGGGTTACTATTAGGGTTATAGGAAGGGTTAGTGTTGGGGTTACAGGGAGAGTTAGTATTAGGGTTACAGGGTGGGTTAGTGTTGGGGTATAGGGAGGGTTAGTGTTGGGATTATAGGGAGGGTTATACGAAGGGTTAGTGTTGGGGTATAGGGAGGGTTAGTGTTAGGATTACAGGGGGGGGGGGGGGTTAGTGTTCAAAGGAAATGTCTGAAAACGAACATATTAGTTATTAGTAGGGATGTCCTAAATTGAACAATATATTTCAGACTTTCAACCAGTAAAGACATCTCTTAAAACAGGCATTTGATGGAGAGTCGGAATATCGGTGTGCCTGGCAGTCCCTTACCCTGTACGTATCCTCATAGTTGCGGCAATGTTTAGTAAATGGGTTGTCCTCTCCTTCAGCCAGCAGGACTTTGGTGCTGATGTATCGGTGCATGGTGGGTTTCCGGACAATGGACCCAGTGATGGAAATTTTGTCACAAGAGGAACACCCAGGCATCATTAATGTCTTTGAGCATTGACCACTGGAGATCCTAGAGAAGAAAACCAAAGATATCACTAGAAATATTCCGCTGTAAACAAAGGCTTTCTACAATATATCTTAACTGGTCACAACTTTGGAACAATCTTCAGCAATGCACTTTGCATCTTCGGCACATAACCAGTCCTACAAGCTGCCTTTTGTCTGTCCTACAACTGCTGCTCTATAGAGGGGTACACACTGGGGGGGGTTGATTTACTAATGCTGCAGAGTGCAACAAATCCGGGCCAGCTGTGTCTAGCAGCCAATCAGCTTCTAACTTTGGATTGTTCAACTAAGCTTTGACAATAAAACCTGGAAGCTGATTGGTTTCTATGCAGAACTGCACTAGAATTTGCCCTTTCCAGTTTTAGTAAATCAACCCCCCGGCTTTAAAGAACTTCTGTGTGACTGGAGGAGGACGTATTTATTAATTTCTTTTATATGCCTTAACTTTTACATTTTGTTCTAGGTAATCAATTATTATCATTGGAAACATATATTGTCCCTAACAATTAGTTCATACATTTGTTAAATAGTACTAACTATAAATAAAATGTAGAATTATATATACAAAATATAGAAACAAAGCATGATATGACAGATAGATAGATAGATAGATAGATAGATAGATAGATAGATAATAGATAGATAGATAGATAGATAGATAGATAATAGATAGATAGATAGATAGATAGATAGATAGATAGATAGATATAGATAGATAGATAGATAGATAGATAGATAGATAGATAGATAGATAGATAGATAGATAGATAGATAGATAGATAGATAGATAGATAGATAGATAGAGATAGATAGATAGATAGATAGATAGATAGATAGATAGATAGATAGATAGATATATAGATAGATAGATAGATAGATAGATAGATAGATAGATAGATAGATAGATAGATAGATAGATAGATAGATAGATAGATAGATAGATAGATAGATAGATAGATAGATAGATAGATAGATAGATAGATAGATAGATAGATAGATAGATAGATAGATAGATAATAGATAGATAGATAGATAGATAGATAGATAGATAGATAATAGATAGATAGATAGATAGATAGATATAGATAGATAGATAGATAGATAGATAGATAGATAGATAGATAGATAGATAGATAGATAGATAGATAGATAGATAGATAGATAGATAGATAGATAGATAGATAGATAGATAGATAGATAGATAGATAGATAGATAGATAGATAGATAGATAGATAGATAGATAGATAGATAGATAGATAGATAGATAGATAGATAGATAGATAGATAGATAGATAGATAGATAGATAGATAGATAGATAGATAGATAGATAGATAGATAGATAGATAGATAGATAGATAGATAGATAGATAGATAGATAGATAGATAGATAGATAGATAGATAGATAGATAGATAGATAGATAGATAGATAGATAGATAGATAGATAGATAGATAGATAGATAGATAGATAGATAGATAGATAGATAGATAGATAGATATAGATAGATAGATAGATAGATAGATAGATAGATAGATAGATAGATAGATAGATAGATAGATAGATAGATAGATAGAGATAGATAGATAGATAGATAGATAATAGATATATAGATAGATGATAGATAGATAGATAGATAGATAGATAGATAGATTAGATAGATAGATAGATAGATAGATAGATAGATAGATAGATAGATAGATAGATAGATAGATAGATAGATAGATAGATAGATAGATAGATAGATAGATAGATAATATAGATAGATAGATAGATAGATAGATAATAGATAGATAGATAGATAGATAGATAGATAGATAGATAATAGATAGATAGATAGATAGATAGATAGATAGATAGATAGATAGATAGATAGATAGATAGATAGATAGATAGATAGATAGATAGATAGATAGATAGATAGATAGATAGATAGATAGATAGATAGATAGATAGATAGATAGATAGATAGATAGATAGATAGATAGATAGATAGATAGATAGATAGATAGATAGATAGATAGATAGATAGATAGATAGATAGATAGATAGATAGATAGATAGATTGATAGATAGATAGATAGATAGATAGATAGATAGATAGATAGATAGATAGATAGATAGATAGATAGATATAGATAGATAGATAGATAGATAGATAGATAGATAGATAGATAGATAGATAGATATAGATAGATAGATAGATAGATAGATAGATAGATAGATAGATAGATAGATAGATAATAGATAGATAGATAGATAGATAGATAGATAGATAGATAGATAGATAGATAGATAGATAGATAGATAGATAGATAGATAGATAGATAGATAGATAGATAGATAGATAGATAATAGATAGATAGATAGATAGATAGATAGATAGATAGATAGATAGATAGATAGATAGATAGATAGATAGATAGATAGATAGATAGATAGATAGATAGATAATAGATAGATAGATAGATGATAGATAGATAGATAGATAGAGATAGATAGATAGATAGATAGATAGATAGATAGATAGATAGATAGATAGATAGATAGATAGATAGATAGATAGATAGATATAGATAGATAGATAGATAGATAATAGATAGATAATAGATAGATAGATAGATAGATAGATAATAGATAGATAGATAATAGATAGATAGATAGATAGATAGATAGATAGATAGATAGATAGATAGATAGATAGATAGATAATAGATAGATAATAGATATATAGATAGATAATAGATAGATAGATAGATAATAGATAGATAATAGATAGATAGATAGCGGATATAGTGAATGCGGGGTCCGGGGAGAGCGGATATAGTGAATGCGGGGTCCAGGGAGAGCGGATATAGTGAATGCGGGGTCCGGGGAGAGCGGATAGAGTGAATGCGGGGTCCGGGGAGAGCGGATAGAGTGAATGCGGGGTCCGGGGAGAGCGGATAGAGTGAATTCGGGGTCCGGGAGAGCGGATATAGTGAATGCGGGGTCCGGGGAGAGCGGATAGAGTGAATGCGGGGTCCGGGGAGAGCGGATATAGTGAATGCGGGGTCCAGGGAGAGCGGATATAGTGAATGCGGGGTCCGGGGAGAGCGGATATAGTGAATGCGGGGTCCGAGGAGAGCGGATATAGTGAATGCAGGGTCCAGGGAGAGCGGATATAGTGAATGCGGGGTCCGGGGAGAGCGGATATAGTGAATGCGGGGTCCGGGGAGAGCGGATATAGTGAATGCGGGGTCCGGGGAGAGTGGATATAGTGAATGCGGGGTCCAAGGAGAGCGGATATAGTGAATGCGGGGTCTGGGGAGAGCGGATATAGTGAATGCAGGGTCTGGGGAGAGCGGATATAGTGAATGCAGGGTCTGGGGAGAGCGGATAGAGTGAATGCGGGGTCCGGGGAGAGCGGATAGAGTGAATGTGGGGTCCGGGGAGAGCGGATAGTGATTTCGGGGTCCGGGGAGAGCGGATATAGTGAATGCTGGGTCCGGGGAGAGCGGATATAGTGAATGCGGGGTTCTTATCCCAACCACGGCACCACCTGCTTGGCGTTTGCATGTTCTCCCTGTGCCAGCGTGGGTTTCCTCCCACAGTCCAAAAACATGCTGGTAGGTTGATTGGCTCCTGTCTACATTGGCCCTAGTATGTGTATGTATGAATGTGAGTTAGGGACCTTAGATTGTACGCTCCTCGGGGGCGGGGACTGATGTGAATGTACAATATATATGTAAAGTGCTGCGTAAATTGACGGCACTATATAAGTACCTGAAATATATAAATTAAGGGCAGCACAATGGCTAAATGGTTAGCACTTCCACCTGGCAGCTCTCAGGTCATTGCTTCAAATCCCAACCACGGCACCACCTGCCTGGAGTTTGCATGTTCTCCCTGTGCCTGCGTGGGTTTCCTCCCACACTCCAAAGACATGCTGGGAGGATAATTGGCTCCTGTCTAAATTGTCCCTAGTATGTGTATGTATGAATGTGAGTTAGGGACCTTAGATTGTACGCCCCTTGAGGGTGAGGGACTGATGTGAATGTACAATATATATGTAAAGTGCTGCGTAAATTGACAGCGCTATATAAGTACCTGAAATAAATAAATAAACAAACAAAAAAAAAATGCAGAGGAGTTTCTTCTCATCTTATTGGCTGCCTCAGTTGAACAAGGTGATGTAAAATACAGTCCTTTAGTAGATGGGTGCTGAAAGTCATGCATTAGTCCTGTTAGTTCGTGTGAGACACGCCGTTAATGGCTATTAATGTTTGTAATGTAAAAAAGATCCAGTTTACCAGAAATGTCAGATTTCCGTCTCCTCTAATATCCCGGTGTTCAGTATGACAGATCCAGCCCCAGCGACTCTGTCCGAAGGACAAGACCATCTCTGCCCCGGCTCATTTCTGTGCTGCATTTAAGATGCCTGCGCTCTCTGTGACATATATATATATAGCCGGTGCTAAAGACCCCGAGTGCTGAGAGTTCCTTGAAATTCTGATATAAATAGTTGCAGGCAGAACACGTGCCCCGCAGTTCCTCTATAACCCCGGCCCGCTGCTAATCACCCAGGTAAAAGCGCAGAGACTCATGTGATTTACTGTAGGAGGAAAATGATGGCAGCGGGGTGCAGATACAAGAATTTGTAGTCTTTAGCTACCGGTTTTAAAGCAAAAAAATAACCAAAAAATGGGTTATGTAATGAGGATCCGTCACGACTGTCCAGCTATAGGCTGCTTACAAGTCCGGAGGGGAATTACGTACAGTGGAAAGCAAAATCTGGTACAGGAAATGGTGAACGCTTTACTCCGCGGGTGTCAAACTGGTGGCCCTTCAGCTGCTGCCAAACTACAAGTCCCATGAGGCATTGCAAGATTGACAGTTACAAGCATGACTCCCAGAGGCAGAGGCATGCTGGGACTTGTAGTTTCGCAACAGCTGGAGGGCCACCAGTTTGACGCCCCTGCTCTACTCCAATCAAGGGGTACGAAGCATTGTACAG